GGTGGCCAATGACCGGATCCTGGGGCCGGGCTGCGGTCAGGGGCTTTGCTGCCGGCGGTGTCAGCCGCGTTGTCCGGATCCGCTGCACCGCGGAGGCTTTTAAGCCAATTAAAGCGATAACTCTCAGCGCTGACCCTCCAGGACATGTCGGTCTCAAGCTGCAGCTGAGGCGCTTTCTAATCTCAGGATTTGGGATTAGCTGGGGTGCCCGGTTAAATGCAGTTTGCTAAACCCATTAGCGAGGTTGGATGCGGTGCAGGTGGATGTGGCAGTTAAAGACACGTTGAATAAACGCTGTGTGTGACAAGAAGGCTTTTCCCTGACCAAACATCTCCCCCTTCCCCAATTTACTCACCACCTCGGCAGCTTTCACCCCCACCAAACCCATCCCTGAGCAGCCCCAGCTGCGACAAATCCCCCCCAAAATCCAGGGTGGCTCTGAGCACTGACTCTGGGATGATCCCAACTTCGAGCTGCTGCGAGGAGCTGCCCAAGTTGGTTGTCATTGGCAAATGCTCCGCCACGAATGCTCTCCGTGTGTGACCACGTGGTGACCAATGATGGTTTTGCTCCTCAACAATTCCTGTCCACTCCATGGTGTCCTCTCCACCCACAGATCCTCCCCAAAAGCCCCCCCATCAGCCTGTCGTCGTCCCCCACATCCTCTGCTGGCTTGGGGACTCTTGGTCCTGATGCACTTGGAGCTCTCCCTGGTGACCTGGCTTGATGGGATGGGAAAGGGATTAAAATGGCTGCAACGGGGAAGCAATTTCCTCCTCATTTAAATGAAGGATTAAGGGATGATATCCCCAATTACCTTTAAGGAAAATTACACTCCCTCTTAGACCAGAGGGGTCCCTCATGCTTTTCTATACAGGCTGATGACAACGGGTTTGGTCATAACCAGGGCTCTTCTCCTCACACTTTGTTTCCCTTCCAACACTTGAAAACCGGGGTCGGGAGCCGGGAGCTGGAGGCAAATTGTGCTGGCAGCAAAGCTGCCCATGGTGGAGCTCCAGCAAACCCAGCGCCCACACCCGAGCCCCCCACCTTCCCATGGCAGGGCCTTCCGTTGGATCACTCTCTGCAATACAAAGGAGGGAGCAATTAGCCCTGAGAGCTCTCGCCGTCGGTTTTCTGCCTCATCATCAGTTTTGGTTGTGGTTTTTTTTTTTTTTTTGAAAATTAAATGATGGGTTTTTTTTCCGAGTGATTGATTCTGTATTTGCCGTGCAGCTGCTGCGGCGCTGGCTCGGGGAGCGCTCGCTGTCAGCGCGTGGGGATGCTTCTCCGGGCTGAGGCGCCGCGGCGTGATCAAACGCATGGCAAATAAGAACCAGCGTTTCGTTCTGGCAAGTTGATGGGAGATGAAATCGCGTTTTAATGAGATCTGTGGAGCTGGCAGGGAGGCGGGAGGGTGACGGTGCCCCCGCCGAAGGCTGGGGGAGCCGTGGGTCACTTGTTGAGCGGTTGAGGAGCCGGGGATGGCGCGGCTCCGGGGGCTGCATGCGGGGGGCTGCTGCGTGATGAGCCCAATTAGCGAGGCTGATTAAGGGAAGAGCAGGAGGTCAATGGTGCCTGGGTCTCACTCACGCCCGGGTGCCCTGGGCACGGTGGCGATGCCCGGTGGCATCCCAGGCTCTGCGTCGCTTCAGTGGCGAGGGATGGGCCGCAGCAAATTGACAGCTCAAATGATCTGCATCCCCCGAGGTGGACGTCAAAGCATCATTGGACACTGGTGCAAAAAAACCATCGGGGGCCAGGAGCTGGGCTGGCCGTAGGGGGGGTGGCCTGGCCCCCGCAGCCATCGGCACCGCTGAAGCTGGGGTGGAATTACTAAAATTGTGTTATTTGCTCATGAGGATGTCTCGCCCAATGGGGCTCCCGATGGCAGCAGGGTGGCACAGGGGCCTC